TGAACAAATGAGAATATACAAGACAGAAGTGTGCGAGCGTGAGTGTGCAAGCTAGAGTAGCCTGCACAAGTGTGAGAGTTCACAAGTGAGTGTGCAAGACAACAGTGTGCGCTCGTGAGTGTGCAAGGCTGAGAAGGCATACCATATACCATGAAAGCACACGAGTGAGGAAGTGCACAGATCGGGCAGTGCACAAGTGTGAGTGTGCACCACTGAAGCTGTGAACCAGCGTGTGGCTCCACCAGCAGGAGCAAGCACAGGTCACCGGAGTGCGTGGAACTGGACCTGTGACATGTCTAGAAGGGAGAGAATCCACAATGTGAGCCTGCTGATGGAGGAAGGGCACGGGAGCTGCTGCCCCGTCCTGCCTGTCCACCTCAACCCTCCCTTCCCCATGCTGCCCATCCCCCCCATCCCCCTCCGCCGCCCCACCTCACTGGCCTTCCCCACTCCTTGCTCTCTGCAGATCCTGACGCAGGAGGATTGGAACATGGTGCTCTACAATGGCATGGCCTCCACTTCTCCCTGGGCCTCCCTCTACTTTGTGGCTCTCATGACCTTCGGAAACTACGTGCTCTTCAACCTGTTGGTGGCCATCCTGGTGGAGGGCTTCCAGGCGGAGGTGAGGGGCCCTCCCAGCCTGGCCTGGCTGAGCATCTGGCGGAGTGCTGGAGGCCCTGAGCTCTGCGCCCCCTCTCTGAGCCTCCTCATTTATGAACTAGCAATGGGAGTCCTTGCCCTGCCTGCTCACGGGGCCTTGTGAAGAGCGCACTTTGGGAATCTTAACGTGCTCTTGGAATGGGGCTGTTATCAGCAATGCCCTCTTCCCCCTCCTCCTCCCCATCCTCCCCCTCCTCCCCCTCTTCCTTCTCCCCCTCTTCCTCCTCTCCCTCTTCCTCCTCAGGACTGACAACGGAGACACGGTGCCCGACCGGAAGAACTTTGATTCACTGGGCCCTCTAACCCCCTCCTCCTCCCCCTCCCCCTCCTTCCCCTCTCCCTCTTCCCCCTCCTCCTCCTCCCCCTCCTCCTCCTCATCATCACCACCGCCACCTGAGAAGGCTGGAGGAAGGAGGGGATGAGTGAAGGAGCAGAGGGGAGAAGAGGATGCAGTCAGCCCAGCCCCCTGGCAGGGGTCGGGGTCAATAGCCCACCAAAGGTTCTTCCTTGTTCCCCAGGCACAGAGATGGGGGGGGGGGCGGTGCTAGCATCTGAAACAGACAACGAGGCAGGGTCGATACATCTGGAGCTAGAAGAGAATGAATGATGAAGGAGCTTTAATTGAGCACTCCTAGATGCCAAGCACTGGCCATGCATGTAGCGCCAGCCCTGGAGGCCTTTGCATTATGAGGGAAGAGAAGGCACAGAAAAGGAGCTGGGAGAGGAATAAGAGGGAATGCTTGAGGAAGCATGATTTGGAATGGCCTGGAAGCCCGGGGGCCAGAGTCCACGTCCTGATGGGAGGGACATGAGGAGGACAGCCAGAGTAAGGGTTGTATTTGGAGAGGTTCTCAAAGTGGCATGGGTGTTGCCATGGAGACATCGACCAGTCAGTCAATGAGCATCTGGTCATGCCCTGAACCCCCTGAGAGGTGGAAGAGGACCAGCCTGTCCCGTCACAAATATTTCCAGTGGTCTAGCTTGGAGCCAAGGTCTGGGGCTTTGGGGGTTTAGGGCTCTTGCCTCCCTCCTTCTCCTTCCCCACTGCCTTCACTGCCCACCCCTGGAGCATGGGAGAGTAGGAAGAACACTGGTCTGATCATCAGAAGGCTGGGGTTGGGATTCTGGTTTGGATATTAACTGTGTGGCTACAAGAAAGTCACTGTCTCTGAGCCTCAGTTTCATTGTCTGTAGAGTGGGGATGTGAACCCCATACCATATGCCTCACTGGGTCCTGAGTAAGCCTTAGAGAAGGTTTCCCTTCCCCCAGGGAGATGCGAACCGCTCCTACTCAGATGAGGACCAGAGCTCGTCCAACTTGGAGGAGTATGACAAGTTCCGGGAGGGTCACGAAGGTCATTTTGGTAAGGGATGCCCTACCTGCACATGCTAGGAGCCCTAGCCTGAGCAGGCCAGGCTCAGCCACAGAAAAGCTAGGGCTCTGAGCAGCATTCATCAAATCCCCAGGCATGGAGGGAGGGACTGTGGGGAAGGCCCAGCTTCTCCTAGGCCCTCACCACCTGGCAGCCAGGTCTCTTTCATCTTGGGCTAAGCAAGGTGGAGAAAACAACCCGTCTCTGAGAGCATCTCCCTGTTTGGTGTGATGGCATGTACCAGACGGAGAGTCTGCTGTCCAGTTGAGGACTGGGGCTTGATTCCAGGTTCTAGGGCTTACCCATGTGTGATTTTTCTGGGCCTCAGTTTCTGCCCCTGCAAAATATGGATGAGCAGATTTGCATTCACTGCCTCCCAGGATTATCATGAGAGGACTGTGCTTTCTGAACAATTTAAAATGTTGGAGGGATGTGGGTATGCGGTCGGGAGAGGGCCCCTCTGCAGAACAAGGTCAGCAGGGGAAAGCTCTTGACCCTCCCCCCTCCTCCTCTATGCATCTGTGTCTCTGTGTGTCTCTTCCTCTCCCATCCCTCCCCATCTTTGGATGTCTCCTCTCAGATGTCAAGCTCTGCCCCATCCCTATGACCCCCAATGGGCACCTGGACCCCAGCCTTCCACTGCCTGGCCCCCTGGCCACAACGGGGGGCATGCCCCCTGGCCCTTGCCACTCCCTGCAGCCTGACCAGGTGCTCATCGCGCTGGACTCCCGAAAGAGCAGCGTGATGTCTCTGGGGAGAATGAGCTATGACCAGCGATCTCTGGTGAGTCACACCACAAGATTTGAACCCGGGGCCAGCTCTCATTTGTCTCTATACCCTCCAGCACCCTGCCAAGCACAGTGCTTTGCATGCACTAGCTGCTTAATAAATGCTTGCTGAATAAACAAGCTGGGGTTAGGAAGAATGAAGGCCAAGGCTGTTCCCTCCCCATCTTTTCCTCCTCTTCCCTAGCCAAGCTTGGGCGATTTTCCCCGAGGCCACACAGGCCCTCTGGGTTTGGAACCTTGCAGACCTTGCCTTCCCTGGGGACCAGCAGGCTTATAGCGGGGTGCTCCAGCCTACATTCTCATCCCCAGCCCTGCCCCTGTGGCTCTGGGGCCTGAGCATGACGTGAGACGTCAGCCGGGAGTGTTCTGGAGGCAGGAATGACTCAAGTCAGTGCAATTTAACCGGCGTTGCTTAAATTCCAACTGCGTGCTGTGCCCAGCACTGCGCTGTTTGGAGAAGACACAATCCTTGCCCGAATTCAGCTCAATCCAGGAGGCATTTATAAAGGGCCTACTGTGTGCCAGAGTCTGTGCTTGGGATTCAGAGGCAAAAGTAAAACATCCCCTCCCCTCCCGGAGCTTACACTCTACAAGGAGAGACAGCATGTACACAGATGGGTAGAAACCAAACCTTGAATCATGAGTTGTGGTTAGAGGGCCACCCTCACAGCCAGGAAGACCCCAGTTCACCTCTGACCTGCCCTGGCTCTGTGGCCTTAGGCAAGCGCCTTCAAGTCTCGGTGCCCCTGGCACCACTGCAAGAAAGGTGCCAACCTGTATTGGCACATGACGTTTCCCCCCTTGAGAGAGTTTCCTGTATCAGTGAGCTCCTGGGACTGGTCCCCATCCCTGTGCAGAGTCACTATCTGGTAGAAGAATACTCACAAATTATGGGGGTGGGGAAGACTTCCTGTAGGAGGTGGCACTGGGAAAGCAGGGGGCTTGGAAGGGGGCCAGGGTCATCAGTGTCATCATTAGGAGGGGGAGCCATCCAGGGATGGGAGATGGCCAGGGCAAAGTCTTGGAGGCGGAGATAAAATATCATGTACAGGGAAGAGCCAGATTGGTGAAAAATAGAATATGTGAAGGGAGTCATGTATAAATTGTGAAGAATTGTACATTTTAAATGAAGTTGTATTTTGTCCTAGAGACCATAGCGAGCTACTGAAGTTTCTTGAGGAGGGGAGTAATGTGGTGAGACCTGGGCTTTATGAACATCAAAGTGGAGGATGGATTGGGGAGGCGAGAGACTGGAGGCAGGGACACCAGTGAGGAGGCTATGGCCACAGACCATGGCCTCAGGGAGCTTACAGTCTAGTAAGGGGATTAGATGTCACACGGCTGTAGCATGAGCTATTACAAAATGAGTACGTTGGAAAGTTAGAAAGCAGTGTACTATGTGAGGTCAGAGGTCATTCTAGCCACGGAATCAGGGCAGGCTTCATGGAGATGGTGGCATTTGAGTTGACCTTTTGAGGAAGGACAGGAATTACAACCGATATTCCAGGCACAGGGAGTGAGGAAAGATACAGTGTGTGGGTCGTAGGGCGTGTTTCCTGTTTGGGAGTGAGTAGAACGTTCAGTTAGAGCAGAGAGCACATGGAGGGGGATAGTATGAGACAAGGCCAAAAATGTAGGATGGTAGTGTGTTTTGGAGGACCTTGAATGCTGAGGAGAGAAGTTTGTACTTTCCTTGGTAGGCAGTAGGTAGCCACAGAAGATGCTTGAGCAGGAGCGGGATGCGCCCTTCCAGTCTCTCTCACTGTCTCTCTGTGTCTGTCTCTCAGTCTAGCACCCGCAGCTCCTACTATGGGGCCTGGGGCCATAGTGGAGCCTGGGCCAGCCGCAGGTCCAGCTGGAACAGCCTGGCCCGGGGCCATAGCCTGAAGCACCGGGCCCCCTCCGCAGAGCACGAGACGCTCCTCTCAGGGGAGAGGGGCCGGTCAGCAGAGGCGGAGCGGGATGAGGGCGCCCTTCGCGGCCCGCCCCATCACCTACCGCCTCATCCCCATCACCATCACCACCACCTCCACCACCCCCACCACTACCGGCACCGTCGGACGCTCTCCCTCGATACCAAGGACTCCTTGGACCTGGCAGAGCCACCGCTGGCCCCTCACACTCATCTGAGGCCCCCCCGGAAGGCGGGCACAGGCCTGGGCACCGGGGAGCACCGGGACTGCAATGGCAAGATGCCCAACATTGCCAAAGATGTTTTCACCAAGATGGATAACCGGAAGGACCACGCGGAGGACGAGGAAGAGATTGACTACGTAAGTGGCCCCGAGGCGGCGTGGTGACAGAGAGGGGCAGGGCAGGGCCACCCAGGATGCCACCTTCCCTCGCACTGCAAGAGAGAAAGGACCAGACTAGGGGCCTGAAGACCTGGGCTCAGCGGTAATTAGCCATGTGACCCTGGGCAAGTCACTCCCCCTCTGGCCTTCAATGGTTTCATCTGTTAAATGAGGGGATTGGACTAGATAATTTCTACTGTTCTTCCGAGTTGACATCCTCTGTTCTAAGTGCCTTCCCAGCTCTGACATTCCCTGTTCTAAGGCCCCCTCAAAGCTCTAGCATTCCCTGTTCTAAGCTTCCTCCCAGTTTTGACATTCCCAGTTCTAAGGCCCCTCAAAGCTCTAGCATCCCGTTCTAAGGCCCTTCCCAGCTCTGACATTCCCTGTTCTAAGCCCCCTCCCAGC